ACCAGTGTGCTCAAACTGACAGGGAGGAGAGCTGTAGCGTACTGCAGCCATTTGTCGGTAATCGCTGGTCTCCAGCGGGTAATTACCGTCCGGGACCTGGTGATTGACACCTGCAGCTGCGATCGGCTGCGCGGGTAGGGCGGTCGTGCGCTCCCCCTACTCGAAATGCAAAATCACGTATATATTTGTGATTTTGCACAGCGGTGCCGCCCTGCCACAGTATATGTACTGTGGCTGGTTGGCAACCGGTTAAACTGAATGGGTTGTTTAAAACAGACCTCCACCCAAAAGAGGAAGTTCCGCTTCAAGCACTGGTCCCCTGCTTCCTGTGAAGAATTAACACTTTTGGAGAGCCAGGGAGAGCAGGTACCCAATTTCGACAGGTACCTGCTCCCACTTTCGCTCCAACCACTTAGGCGATCAGAAGTGGAAGTTTTCCTCTCCCAGTCTTCTGGGATACATGACAGGTCCCAGAAGACTGTGGGACCATTTACAGTGCGCATGTGAAGTGGGGACCTGGCTGTAAAGCCGCAAGCTGGCTTATGTGACAGTTTTTGTAGCTGCTGGATTTTTTTTTTTTCATTTATTTCTGTTACAGCCATATTGGTTACTTTTCCCCTCCTGTCCATATGATGCCTATGCTTTAGTGAAGGATGCAGTAGTCTCTGGTCCAGGAAGGCATTGACAGCAATAAAAACATTGTCAGAAGTTGTAACCCTTCCCAACTGTACTACAAATGTGCTTTTTGTCCCCGTTGGAGTCGTTTTTTTTCATCATTTCTATCCTGAGTGGAAATTATGAGACAATCATGCAGCTCACTTGCATACCAGGGACACGTTATGGCTGCCCTCACTCTTCTGGTAGATCAGGCCGTGAACAGGAACAGGGGCTTGCATTTGTTAAGCCTGGTTCACACTAGTGTGATTTTCATATGTGACTTGAGTCGTGGCAAGGGAAATCACATTGTTTTCCATGTTGCCTGTTCACATCAATGCAACTCAGCACAGAGCAATTTTGAAAAAGGTCTCTGTACTACTTTGGTGCGATTCCAGTGCAATTGTGGCCCCATAGAATATACAAATCTTATCAAAGTTGCATCCACGTTTAATGGAATAAGCCTACAAAAATGGTCAGGCGGATCCATTGAGAGATGGTTTAACTAGAAGCTGGAGATGACGCGCGTAGACCTTTCAGAATGACGTTACTGAGGCACAGTTCACACTACTGCAGTGCAATTTTCTGTGTGAATATGTAGTGTGACTTTGATGAAACTTGGCTGCAATTTTGCATATTCTATTAGGCCAAATTACTCTGTAAATCACACCAAAGTAGTAAAGGAACCTTTTCCAAAATCACAGAGTGCTAAGTCACATTGATCTGGACAGGCACTGTTGAATATAAAGCTATTTCCCTAGACTCAACTAGTTCTGTGCAGCACTGGATAGCATGGCCAGTCAAAGATAATCATAGGAGCTACGCGTAGTGCGGAATAGGATGGGGTGTTGGGAGTTAGTTCACCTTTTCATTCTTTGTGAAAAGGTGAACTAACCCTTTAGTTTAGGTTCACAATAATGCCGCTGCGCAATCTTGTGTTTTTATGCATCATAGTTTTTTTTAAGGAAGAGACTGGATGGTAAACAAAATAAAATGGCAAAAATGCATGTACATGCGATTTTAAATGTGCTCTCATTGAAGTCTATGGGCCCAAAAAATGCACAGTGCTGCACTAAGGGACAGTTCATACCTAAGTCACACAGGAATGAAATCAGTGTTCCTGTGTGACTCAGTGCACTACAATCTTTAGCCCACTCATTAGAAACGTGCACGGAACTTGGGTTTTCCACACCGCTTTCCAGTGTAAACAAGCCCTAAGGGTCAGTTCACACATGCCTGCATCTGAATCACACAGAAACTCTCTGCGCATTCCTGTGCAATTCAAACCAAATCAAACCAAATGCAGTGTGTTTGCCCACACGTGTTTGCACTATGTGATTCGTTTGAAGTGTGTTTTAAAAAAATAGTGCATACACTACTTTTGGTGCAGTGTAATTTCAGTCAATTTAAAATGAATGGACTGAAATCGCACCGCTTCGCATTCCTGTGCGATTCACTTGCAGGCATGGTGTGAACCAGCTCTTAAAGAAGTTCCTGCTCCTTTTAAAAAACTGCATTGCACCATGTACCAGGCACCACAGGAAGAAATGTTTTTTTTTTCCCCCCATTGTCACGCATTGCAACGCAACAGAAGCAGAATTTGCAGGGCCTTAAAGTGGAACAAAAAATTTTCTGCAAACAGGAAGGCTTGTCCTTTGCAAAAGAGACAGGCAATGTCTCTTTCGCAATAAAATACACCTACCTGCCTATTTGAAGAATGCGGAAAAGAGCTGCGCAACCCTGTTTACATTCCAGCACAATGCCAATGTGCCGGGATGAATAAATCCTGTGCATGCACGGGAGTGACATCATCCTGCACGTGCCAATCAAGACAGCCAAAGACTGCCACCAGTAGAAGCTGGAAAAAAAATGCTGCTGCCAGCAACGGAAGAAGCTGCTGAAATAATCATTGCTGTTTTTTTAGTATCATTTCAAAAGGTGCATGTTTACATGTATTTGTAATGTGTTTGCAGAGCACTTACGTTTCGTTATGGTAGATTTACAGTGCTCAGCATAACTGAGTACACCCCTTTTGAAAAGTAAGATTTTAATCAATATCTCAATGAACACAAGAACAATTTCCAAAACTGTGACAAAACAGTTTTATAGAACATTTGTTTAGCTCATTACATGAAAGTAAGGTTAATAGATTACAAAATGTTCACTTTGACTCAAATTAGTAGATGCAAAAATGAATACAACCCACAACAAAAACTACTCCATATAGTATTTTGTATGACCTCCATGATTTGTAAGAACAGCACCAAGTCTTCTAGGCATGAAATGAACAAGTTGGCGACATATTGCAAAATTTATCTTTTTCCATTCTTCAAGAACGACCTCTTTAGAGCCTGAATGCTGGATGGAGAGTGATTCTCAACCTGTCTCTTCAGAATTCCCCATAGGTGTTCAATTGGGTTCAGATCAGGAGACATACTTGGCTACTAAATCACTTGCACCCTGTTCTTCAGAAATTAAACAATGACCTTAGATGTGTGTTTTGGATCATTGTCATGTTGGAAAGGTGAACATCAACCAAGGGCACGGAGTGATGGTAGCATCATCTCTTTCAATATAGAGCAGTACATCTGTGAATTCATAATACCATCAATGAAATGCAGCTCCCTGACACCAGCAGCACTCATGCAACCCCACAGAAGGGCACTGATACCACCATGTATCACTGTAGGCACCATGCATTTTTCTTTGTACTCCTCATCTGCAACGCCATCATTTTGAAGCCATCAGTTCCAAAAACATTTCTCTTGTTCTCATCACTCCAGAGTACAGAGTCCCAGTAGTCTTCTTTTTCAGCATGGGCCCTGGCAAATTCTAGGCAGGTTTTTTTGTACATGCGCTTTAGGAGAGGCTTCCTTCGTTGACAACACCCATGCATGCCACTCCTCTGCAGTGTAAGCCATATTGTGTCATGTGAAACAATCACCCCAGTTTGGCTATTTCTTTAGCTAGCTGCAGTGAACTTGCACGGTAATTTTCTTTAACCCTTCTCATCAGAAGACGCTCCTGTCAAGGTGTTAACTTCCGTGGATGGCCTGGACATCTCTGTGAGATGGTTGCAGTTCCATGTTACATTTTTGTATCACTTCTACTACAGTATTCTAATAAAGCTGTACTATTCTTCCTGTAGTGTTCACCTTTCTTGTGTTAAGAAACTATTTTCTTTCTCAGGCCTTGTGACATTTCTCTTCCATGTGGTGCCATTGCTGACAGCATAAAATGGGAAAGAGTTTTGTTAAGTAACACCCGTTTATACTCAACCATCTGCTGGAAACCTGTTTATTGAATAATTAGACTCAGCTGTGGTTAAATTCTTGTTAATTAGGATTTTGTTGTCTAAAATTTAGTTTTGCTCCTAAGACTTTTACTGGGGTAGATTCATTTTTGCGACATGGTCTTGAATTAACTTGCAAGGAAAAATGTTTTTTTTCGTGTGTGCAAACGAACAAATAAATGGCCTGCATTTATGGGAGTTTTTTGCAGTATAGTGTCCAATAGAAAAGGTTAATACTGAAAGGACAGGTTTTCTAACAAATCTGTTGCGGTGTACATATTGATGCTGAGCACTATACATGTATAAATATGCACATGAAAACTGTGCTCATAAAAATATATTCCTTTTTCTTTTATTTGCATTCATAACACACCTACAACCACATTTGTCTGCATCTGGTTGAGCCTTTTTCATGCCACTTTATGAAAGAGCAGGCTTGTGCTTTCTGCATCTTTTTTGCATTTGTCCAATGTGTCGCCCCCCCCCCCCCCCCCCCGTCCGTCCATTCCCAAGGGGCAACATTTGAACTTCATTTCTTATTGCACTTCAAGCACTTTACCTTTTTGCCATTTTTTTTTAGTGATTCGCCAAAATTTTGGCGCCAACTAACTGCATTGGGGAGGGAGACAGCACAAACACTATATTAGGACGCTTGCCTTTACACGCACATAAACTTTAATGGCATCCCAGTCTTTGTCCGTAGGGTTCAATACTGAGTTGGCCCACCCTTTACAGCTATAACAGCTTCAACTCTTCTGGGAAGGCTGTCCACAAGGTTTAGGAGGGTGTCTATGGGAAGGTTTGACCATTCTTCCAGAAGCGCATTTGTGAGGTCAGGCACTGATGTCGGACGAGAAGGCCTGGGTCGCAGTCTCCACTCTAATTCATCCCAAAGGTGTTCTATTGTGTTGAGGTCAGGACTCTGTGCAGGCCAGTCAATTCCTTCACCCCAAACTCGCTCATCCATGTCTTTATGAACGGCTTTGTGCATTGGTGCTCAGTCATGTTGGAAGAGGAAGGGGCCAACTCCAAACTGTTCCCACAAAGTTGGGAGCATGAAATTGTCCAAAATGTCTGGTAAGCTGACTCCTCAAGAGTTCCCTTCAGTGGAACTAGGGGTCCAAGCCCAACCCCTGAAAAACAACTCCACACCATAATCCCTCCTCTACCAAACTTTACACTTGGCACCGTGCAGTCAGGCAAGTACCATTCTCCTGGCAACCACCAAACCCAGACATGTCCATCAGATTGCCCAGAGTAACGTGATTCATCACCTTTCTGTCAGACAGACACCACAAGAGTTCCAGAGAACACGTCTCCACTGCTCTAGAGTCCAGTGGTGGCATGCTTTACACCTCTACATCCAACACTTTGCACTGCACTTGGTGATGTAAGGCTTGGATGCAGCTGCTCAGCCATGGAAACCTATTCCATGAAGCTCTCTATGCACTGTTGTGCTAATCTGAAGGCCACATGAAGTTTGGAGGTCTTTACCTATTGACTCTGCAGACAGTTGGCGACTTCTGCGGACTTCAGCATGTGCTGACCCCGCTCTGTCATTTTACGTGGTCTACCACTTCATGGCTGTGTTGCTGTTGTTCCCAGTTGCTTCCACTTTGTTATAATATCACTAACAGTTGAGTGTGGAATATTTAGTAGCAAGGAAATTTCAGGGATTGACTTATTGCACAGGTGAGAACCTATCTCGGTACCACGCTTGAATTCACTGAGCTCCTGAGAGCGACCCATTCTTTCACCAATGTTTGTAAAAGCAGTCTGCATGCCTAGGTGCTTGATTTTATACACCTGTGGCCATGGAGGTGATTGGAGCACCTGAATCCAATGATTTGGAGGGGTGTCCCTATACTTTTGGCAATATAGTGTATATCCCTGTATGCAAGTACTGCTTGGATGTGCATAGATCTGTGCACAGCAGCTGCATATTGACTGTTAGGGCCCATTCACACTTGCCAAGCCTCTGACAAACGATCTGTGGTGGATTAATTTTCAAAGGCAATAGACAGGACGATATATAGGAAGCAATATATATCCTGTTTTAACCCTGAAGACTGCACCACAATCAGTTTCAGTGTGATCCCATACACTTGAATGCAACAAGGGGGTACAAATTATTTCTTTAGTTTTGGATGGCTTGGAACACCTGTCAGGTTTTTATTGCTGTCTGTGCCCTATGTCCTGTTTACCGTTATCATAAGTGAAAGTAAAACAAATCCCCAAATTTTAGGTGGTTACCAGAACAGGAATTGTGGGAAATCTTCCAATGGTGACACTAGTTCTGGCAACAACCAGGGATTTCCTCACTTCCTGTTTGACTATGGGACAGGAAGTGAAGGGAAATCTCCCCAATGGGACAGATGGCAAAAACACCTGACTGGGATTATAATTGTCCCTTGCTCTACCCACAACAACAAATGCCTCTATTTCTACTGTATCTCCTCGCCTCTTCCATTCATAACAATGTCTCCTATACATCCGCTCTGAAGGATGACTTCAAGCCTAGAACACGTGACCACACCTCCGGGATATAAACAATGGTTGCCACTGACAACAGATTCCTAACTCTCCATCTTGTCTTCTATGTGGAATACAATGAAGAGTCCGAGCTGCCTCTCTTCCCGCCATGGCGGCTCCTTCGGGCGGACAATCAGGCAGTGCGAGCAAAGCCCGCCCTCCCTCGTCCTCCAACCGCCTTTGCCGCCAGTTCCCGCCTCCTCCTCCATCATCCCCCCTCCCACAGCCCGCGCCTGCGCGCTAACCGTGAGCCGGGCCATAGACGTTGCTATCGCGTGACGTCAGGGGCCGAAGGTGGGCGTGTCCGTGGAGGAGCTGTTCTCCGTCACTCCCGGAGCGGGCTGCTGTAGACTGGAGGGAACCGTACGGGGGAGGCCGGGGCAGAGCTTCTTCCCTCCTCTTCCCGGCCCGGTCATTCGGTGTTACCGCTGCCGCAGACACTCCACCGCCCTTCGCTGGCAGGTAAGGTGGTTCCGCTGTGTGCTAGCCGGTTCCCTGTTCGTGGCCTTTCCAACATGGCTTCCCCTCCACCGGCCGACCGCCACACCGCGTCCTGCCATCCCATTGTCCTCATTGGGCGGCCCGGGGATGTGTGTGACCTTCTCCTATGGCCCTCTCCTCATCCGGCCGGGCCCCCTGGTGGCGTCATCCGCTGTGTGCGGGGAGGGAGCGCGGGCGGGGGATCCGAGCGGAGACACTAAACCCGGCATCCGACTACCATCCCCCAACACCCCTCTCTGTTCGATTCCATACCCCCTCAGTGACCGGCCCCAGCAACCCTGCCTCCCCCCCACCTCTCCCAGCACATTCACCCCTCCCCCCAGGGACCAGTACACCTCGCCTCTGGCCCAACACCCCGCATTCCTCTACCTCCCCGGACTATTGACCCCCCCACAACACCCCGCATTCCTCTACCTCCCCGGACTATTGACCCCCCCCACAACACCCCGCATTCCTCTACCTCCCCGGACTATTGACCCCCCCACAACACCCCGCATTCCTCTACCTCCCCGGACTATTGACCCCCCCACAACACCCAGCATTCCTCTACCTCCCCGGACTATTGACCCCCCCACAACACCCCGCATTCCTCTACCTCCCCGGACTATTGACCCCCCCCCTTCCCAACACCCCGCATTTCTCTACCTCCCCGGTCTATTGACACCCCCCCTCCACAACACCCAGCATTCCTCTACCTCCCCGGACTATTGACCCCCCCCCCTTCCCAACACCCCGCATTCCTCTACCTCCCCGGTCTATTGACACCCCCCCTCCACAACACCCAGCATTCCTCTACCTCCCCGGACTATTGACCCCCCCCCCCTTCCCAACACCCCGCATTCCTCTACCTCCCCGGTCTATTGACACCACCCCCCCTCCACAACACCCAGCATTCCTCTACCTCCCCGGACTATTGACCCCCCCCCCCTTCCCAACACCCCGCATTCCTCTACCTCCCCGGTCTATTGACACCCCCCCTCCACAACACCCAGCATTCCTCTACCTCCCCGGACTATTGACCCCCCCCCCCAACACCCCGCATTCCTCTACCTCCCTGGACTGACACCCCCCCCCCACAACACCCCGCATTCCTCTACCCCCCCCTCCTCCACAACACCCCGCATTCCTCTAACTCCCCGGACTATTGACACCCACCCCCCTCCACAACACCCCGCATTCCTCTACCTGCCTGGACTATTGACCCCCCCCCCCTCCACAACACCCCGCATTCCTCTACCTCCCCGGACTGACACCCCCCCCCCCACAACACCCCGCATTCCTCTACCTCCCCGGACTATTGACACCCCCCCCCCACAACACCCCGCATTCCCCTACCTCCCCGGACTATTGACACCCCCCCCCCCCCCCACAACACCCAGCATTCCTCTACCTCCCCGGACTATTGCCCCCCCCCCCCCCCACAACACCCCACATCCCTTTACCTCCCCGGACTATTGACACCACCACCCCCTTCCACAACACACCCGCATTCCTCAAACCTCCCCGGACTATTGACCCCGCCCCCCCCCACAACACCCCGCATTCCTCTACCCCCCCCCTCCTCCACAACACCCCGCATTCTTCTACCTCCCCGGACTATTGACCCCCCCCCTCCACAACACCCCGCATTCCTCTAACTCCCCGGACTATTGACCCCCCCCCTCCACAACACCCCGCATTCCTCTACCTGCCTGGACTATTGACCCCCCCCTCCACAACACCCCGCATTCCTCTACCTCCCCGGACTGACACCCCCCCCCCCCCCCACAACACCCCGCATTCCTCTACCTCCCCGGACTATTGACCCCCCCCTCCACAACACCCCGCATTCCCCTACCTCCCCGGACTATTGACACCCCCCCCACAACACCCAGCATTCCTCTACCTCCCCGGACTATTGACCCCCCCCCCACAACACCCCACATCCCTTTACCTCCCCGGACTATTGACACCACCACCCCCTTCCACAACACCCGCATTCCTCAAACCTCCCCGGACTATTGACCCCGCCCCCCCCACAACACCCGCATTCCTCAAACCTCTCCGGACCATTTCCCTGCTGCCCATACAGTAGGTCATAGCTCTTCTCCCTCCCACCTTATTCCCTGCATATTGCTTTCCTTCTTGGAACCCTGGCACAACATTTCTCCTGAGTTCCCAGCACCCTGCTCTTTATCTCCCCCCCCCCCCCCCCATTCACAGCACCCTGTTTCCCCTTCCCCCAGGGTCACAGCTTCTCCTCTGCCATCCCTCATATTTCTGTGTCTCCAGCACCCCGACCCCACATCCTCTTTGGTCCTTGGAACCCTGACATGGTATCCTTGGGTCCCTTGCACACTGCTCTCCCCAATGTGCAGGGGGTGCTTTCATGTCATGATTAGTGGTTATTAGCTGTGGTGATGGTCCCCAAACATCAGCATTTCACTAGTAATGGTTAGTGAACAAGACCCTGTCAGCGCTCCTCTCCAGCGGCACACTTGGGGCTCATTAACATGGGCACTATGGCACATTTGGGTGATATACACAGCAGATAGGTTGGGTCATTATTACTGGAATGGTGAAATGTAACTTGTATTGCTTATCTTTCCATGGAAATAACTGGATTTTACTTGTGAGCATGCATTAGTTGTTTGGCCTGGTATGTGGTGGTAGTGATATTGGTCATTTTTTTTATTAAAGAGATACCAATAACAGAACTTGTATGCACTGGTTCTTTTTTTTTTTTTTTTTTTTTTTTTTTCCTTTTTCTGAGCTTCCTTAAACTCTTCACTGGCTACGGTGGCAGAATTGTTATGTTGGTGCCCCTTGTACATGCCAGGACCTATGGGGTCCCACAGGACTCTCCTCTCTTGCTCCTATATGTAACTACAGGGATTCATGCAGCTTTTCAGAACACTGGCAGTGTGGGTGGGACACCGCGCCAAAGCCATGCCTCTCCTTGTCCACAACAGTGATGACAGCGGTTCCTGAGCTGTGTGCCATAATGTGAACAGCTTCATGTAACACTGTAGTTCCAAAAGGGAGCATGGACATGCATGAGAGTTCTATGGGGCTCCATGGCTCTCTGCAGGCACAAGAGGCACTATCATAATGGGAGTCTGGTAGCTTTGGCCTGGGAAGAGTTTGAGATGGGAGCTCAGAGGAGAAAAATTAAAAACAAAACTCCTTTATTGCCTGTTGGTCCACATCAGATGGGAATCGAGGGACCTTTCAGATTGTGGTCCCTAAATTATTACTGAGTATGGAGGATGGTTCAACAAGAGCAGATGTAATTCTATAGGATCCCCTATGAGGAATTGGGGAAAAGTGCAGTCAAAGTTATTAGACTTGGTTTTGGACATAAGAAAAATATGTTTGTTGCGTAGGCATGGGGGCTTATCACTGTACTGTACATGACCTGTTCAGAAAGCAGGGGGAGGGACCTTTTGGGCTCCACCTACTTCAAGCTGTCTGCAGAGAGCTGTATGAGGGGGTGGATACAAGACTAGTCACCCTGCACAAGGAGAGAGAGCAGCAGTGACCGGTCTTTATTACAGGAAGTTCCTGCACAGAGGAGACTTATGGATGTACTGGATCACTGAACAAATACACAAATCACACCAAGATTTTTGTATTTAGACAATATTTGCTTCTCTCAGAGTTTATCATTAAGAATCTATGCTTGCTGTACAGACCTGGGCACTTAATCGGTGTTAAGAATGTTTGCTTGGTCTGTAGACATGGGCACTGGGCTATCTGGCTTGTCAGAATCAGGAATGTATGCTTAGTGA